TATTCACCCACAGAGCCCGGCCAGCACCAGGAAAGGAAGGGGTCACTCGGCGAGGACAGGCTGTCTGCCGCTCGCGTGGGTGGGGGGTGAGGAAGTCAGGGACCGAGGAGGAGCTGGCAAGGAAAGGGACCCACATCGTCGTGTTCCTGTCTGACCAGCGCTGGCTCCGGGGCCTGTTCTGGGGGCCCCATCTTCACCTGCAGTTGGGTGACCTGGGGAGAGACACAAGGTAGAAGGAACCGAGCTACCCCAAGTCCATCGGAGGGACGTCGTCCTGCTCACTGCGCTGTCCCCGCCTTTTACACTGTCACCCGGGTATGTGTGCCGCACACTGGTATTGATACCTGCCGCGTGTCCTTACGCCTCGGCACTGTCCTCCTCCGGCATCTCCTGAGCCAGCGCTCAGTTCCGCCCCGCGCGTCCCCGCCCTGCCTGTCTGTCCTGGCCATACCCTGTCCTGGGCCTGTTTCCGGGTCTCCTCATCCATCCAGGGAAGCCTTCTGAGGCGAGCGATGAGGGCATCTTTGATAGCGGTGAACAACTCCATGGCCTGTGGGCGTGAGGGGGTGGGGATAGACAAACAGACCCTCTGTGCTGGGTCCTGCCCACCAGGCCTCCAGGAAGGGGCCCTGGCCCTGCGGACCCGCGAGAAGGAGCAGGCTCGCAGAAAGAGAGAGCGGAAAGTGACATTTCCCGGGACACCGAAAACCCAGGGTACGAAGATCCATGGAGACAGAAAGGAGGTGCCAAGCCCGGCAGGTGAAGGTGGGACATGGTCAGGTCACTCCTATGGGCTGAAAGGGAGAGCTCGGCCTGCTGCGGGAGGGGGACCCTGTCCCTGTGCTTGGAGAACTGAGGGAGGAAGAGGGACCCTCACGCCTTTCTCTGCTCTCGCGGGCCCTGTTCTCAAACGCCCTTGTTTAAGGTACACATCTCCTGACTCCATCTTCCTGGCCTCTTCAGCTGCCCAACTCGCTGACGTCTCTCCAGCCTCACAGCCTGACTGCACAGGCTTTGCTCTCCCAGCCGTCTGCCACCCGTGCATCTCCTGTCCTGAGGGAGGAACGCGGATGACCTATCGGGAGCCTGAGGTCGGATCCCGACTCTACTCTCCGGTAGCCTGGGCAACTCGCTTTTTTCTTCTCTGCTTCAGTTCCCTCCTCTGTAAAATTGGGATGCGACTAGGAATTAAGAGCAGTTCCCGCAAAGTGCTTCAGCGCGTACCAGGCACCTGGTAGGCACTCGAAAAGTATTCGGTAGTTATTTATTTGCACTTCTTGAGATCCTATCATTCCATGCTCACATTGCTTCATGTGTTGTTAAAAAATCACAAACAGGGAGTAACCTCAGAGGTTGCGGAGTTCAATTTTCTCATTTTATGGTTGAGGGAACACAACAGCAGGAAAGTCGGGCGACTTGTCCGAGTCTGTGAACGTCGTGTACGTTCCGTGTCCCATGGCTAAACGGTGCAGACCCTGGGGACATCGCATGTCCTCCTTTGGGTTCACTCTCTGCGGCCCCCTTACCCCTTAAAGACACATACTCTGGAGAAGGGCAAAGTCAGCGGAATTGGGAGAGGCTGAGCTGGGTGGGGAGGGCGGAGGGACACGGGCTGGGGAAGAGCCCTCACATACAGCACTCCGGGTGCCCGGGCTGAAGACCTCACGAACGAACAAGGGCTCCAGGGTCGGCTCGAAGAAGGTTCCGGTCTCCTCCACGCACTTTAACCACTGCTGGTGGGCAGGCTGTGGAGACAAAGCTGGAGTGAGCGGCCCCCATCCAGGTCGAGGGTCTTCCTCGTCCACTTTCCCAGGCCAGTCCTGTCTAGAGCTTTCCCCCAGAGGACACTCTCGTATCTGGACATCCTGGGATTGTTTAACGTGACTGTTACCCATTTTGGTTCATTGCTTCTCAGCACAAAGGGGCTCAGTTCTCCTCTAGGATCAGTCTCGTGAGCATGGGTTGGATACATCATCCTTGTTTGTTGCCTATTGAATTTGAAAGCGAGGCCTCTGGGAGGCATCCTCCTGGAGACCCGACGGGCTCCTGGGGAGGAGAGGAGCCGGCGACAAACCTCTTACCGTCGTAGGTCTGCTGGCCGCCCCGTCCCCACCCACCGCAGGCACTGCTCTGGGAGCCCGGCAAAGACTCCCATGCTTCTTTGCTTAAGACGCAAATTGGAGAAGGTGGTTCCTCCCTCCCTCCCACCATCCTCCCCACTCTCCAAATGGTAATCACAGCTCGCGTGGCAGGATCTTGTCTTATAAAGAAGAAAATGATGAGAGTGAAATTGGGTTTCAGAAACCATAGTGTTTGGTAGGAGAAGAGGAATTTTTAAAAAGACTAAATGTATGAACTCAGAGAGCTAAGAAACCTTCAGGAAAAGCAGGATGAGACGAAGCGAAAATAGGAGGAGATGATGGACATTCTCAGCTTGAAAGGCAGAGAGCTGGTTAGACAAAAATTCAAGAAGACCTTGGCAACTGGGGTGTTTTTTTAACAGCAAGACACAAAGAATAAGAAAAAAGGGAGATGCTGGGGAGGTTTCGGCAGGGGGTTTGGATGGCTTTGAAGAGCTGACTGAGGGACGGGCCCAGAGATGACACATTCAGGGGGCCAGGGGTAAGGACAAAGAAGCCGGCCTGGGCGAAGCTGAGCTGTGTCTGAGAAAACCAACTAATATGCTAATTTGGGTTACACGGGATGAAGTCACAAGACTTCATTCTTGTAACTTATTTACTCTGCAAAGGTCTCTCGGGGAAGGGAGTTAGGCTGCCGCCACGCTCTCTGAGACTGGAGGGAGAGTTAATGGGGCTTCCCGGGACAGAGAAACCGGAGGGGAGGCCGGTACTGCCACCACCGAATAAGAAATGCCCAGGCCGCTCGCTAGGAGGCTCTTCATTTTGGAGGTTGCTCCAGATCTGTTTGCCCGCATCGTGTGGTCCTGTCCCCTCGCCACGGGGACTGTTAAAGACCTTGTGAGGAGAAGAGACTCAGACACTTTCTACAGTGTATCAGCTGGAACTCTGAAACACAGATGTGAAAAGCAAACAGATGGAAAGGAAGCCCGGGTCTCGTAGCAATGACTAGGTCAAGTGCAGGCTCTGGGGCCACCTTCAGTATCCATCCCTCGCAGGACTCAGGACAACAGGTGTGGCTTTGGGGCTGTACTTAGCAAACGGCATCAGCCCGGGACTTGGCAGTGTGGACCTGTCCGTCCGTTTCACACCTGGTCCTTGAGCTGGTTCATGAGCTGGTTCCTGAGCCCTTTCACTGGACCCTCTCTCCAACAGCCTTCGCTTGCTCCATGCCTGTCTCCACAGCCTGGGCCACGTGGGCCCTGACTGGTTACTGGAGAGTCTAGATGCCACCTCAGACTACCATTGTTCACCCTATGCGACTCTGGGAATCATTAAACCAACTATTTTTAATAGTTGGAAAATAATGCTTAATGACTAAGGACCCACGTAGGATCACTGAGGACAAACAATGCCAAATTAATAGCGATTTCTCTGGATAACAGGTTCACCAACTAGGACATACCACAGACCAGGAGTCACGAACTCCAACAGGGGCCACGACATGATGTAACCAAGGGAGCAGTCCAGCATCGGAACCACCAGACATGGAGGGGCGATGACAAATGGAGCGAGCATGCCCAATCCAAACCGAGCTGTGTCACTTAGCTCCAGTCAATTAACTGTCCCTCTGGAGAGGCTGGCCCAGCGGTGCCCAAGCTTCGCATTTACAACAAAAGGCTCAAAATCTTATTACTGACGTGCCGTCCCCTAATTTTTGAATGTTGGCAATTAATTAAAAGTTTATGAAAGGCTTTTAAGGCTGACAAAACACATTGTTAGGTCAGATTCATCCTCAAGGACCAACGCAATAACACCTTTGCACAGAGAATTCAGCATTCCCTCGATGTCGATTATTAACTTAAACCACGGTACTTCAGATACACTGGCTATAAAAGGGAGACTAATATCTGTCCCAACTTCCTCACAGAGTTGCTTCAAAGATGAGTGAAATAATACATTAAAAATACTCTGTAAATTCTAAAGTGTTACCCGTCTCTGAGTGGATCCTCAGCTGGCTGAACCATGACAAAACAGCAGAGATTAATGACTCCAACTTGGAATGAGCATCCCGACAGCCTTACTGAAAATTTTAACACGCTCGCCACCTAGCCCACCCCATCTCCCTCTGTAACACTTATCACCACCTATTTTATTTAGTTTACTGTCTTTCTTCCTCCATTAGAATATAAGTATCCGAGGGCAGAGATTTTTTTTTTTCTATTTTGTTCACTGCGGTCTATAGTGAAGTGCGTGGTAGATAGTAGGTGCTCGATAAATATTCGTTGCATAAACGAATGGCCTTCGATAACCTGACCCGATGCTCTTCCTTCTTCAGGATCTTGACAGTAGCCTAGATAAAGATCCACTAGACAAAACTGCAAATGACCCAAGGTAGAACAGGAAAGGTAAGATAGTAGAAGACTAAAACAAAGATCGAAATTCCCGGAATAAATCGGGACACTGGGCTGAATATAAATAGTTCATGATTAACAGGTGCGAATGGCAAGTCCTGTGTTTACTTCCCAAAACTTGGCTTATCGAGTTTGGTAAAAGACAGGTCTGGCTAAACAATCATTTTTATTGACTGTATATTCAAAATTACTCAACAAAATGTGGTCGTATAATGAGACCTAGCGGTCTTTCTGAATTTGGACACTCTAAAGTAGAATTCATTCACAAGAATGTGGTTAGAAATTCATAATTAATGACTACTGGATAGAAGCGTACATTTCGGTCAAATCCAGGCCAAAACCTTAGGCGTGTCCTTGACTCCACTCTCTCTCACATCACGCCACACATCTGCCGGGAGATCCTGCCGCTTAGCTTCCGAACGCATTCTCCCACAACAGAAAGCAGATTAATCTTCTAGGCCCCGACGTCATGCGGAGAAAAGCCAGCATCCTACCAGTGACCTGCCAGGCCCTGTGTGCTCTCCCCCTCTCCTCTCCGATTTCCTCCCTACTGGTATGCTCTTGGCTCTTTCTGTTCCAGGGGCCCTGGCCGCCTTCCTGATTCTGACTCCTGGGCATCCTCCCCCAGCAGCAAGCATAGCCTTCCATGCCAGCCTAGTGCGCTCTTCTCAGCCAGAGCCACCGGGAGGATGCCCCACACTGCACCAAGTCATAGCCCCACAGATGCCCCACACTGCACCAAGTCATAGCCAGCCTGTTCCATGCCTCGCCCCAGTGAAATGATAGCCTTTGCATTGCCAGAAAACTTCTTCGACCCTCTAGACACTGCTTCTGTCCTACGCCCTGCATGGAGCTCGCACTGGTCAGCCAGGCCCACCCAGAACTCTCCCTGGTAGGAGCTCCGAGAGTGTCTGCTGTCTGAACCAGAGTCTTGTCGGAATGCAGCCACGCCCTTGCATTTCTCTGGTGCACATCTGCTCTCGTGTTACAAGGACAGAGTTCGGTAGTTGCAACACAGACCCCATGGACCACGAAGCCAAAAATATTTACTATCTTGACCTTTATAGAAAGAATTTGCCGACCCATTTTCTGAACCACCCAGTTATTTCTCAGTCCTGTACAGTACGTTAAAAACATGGCCTCATGAGCCATACGGATTATTTTGGTATCTGTTCCTTCGCTTATAAGCTGTGTAGTCTTGCAAAAGTACTTGTCCTTTCCGGTGACCTCAGAATGTTTCTGGAAGAGTTAGATAAAATTATTTATGCTGAAAGTTCCATGCCATGGAACTGCAAAACAGTAGCTACTCCATGCATATCAGCTATTAGTCTTACGTGTCATGTTTGGTACTATTGTTCCAGAGAGGTGAAGTGGCTTCTCCAAAGCCACACAAATATCTGTCGGTAGAGCTTGATTCAGCTTGTAAGCCCAAGGACGATTATACATATGATGGTGACTTTAGCAATTTTAAGCCTTCTAAGCTCACGTGTGAGTTTCAACACTGGTAGTCTTTAACCCTTCGAGAAGCGTTGCCAGGCCATAGTTCTGGGATTTATAGGAAGCTGTATGTTGCCAGGGATTGCAGAGCAACCCCAACTAAGAGTTGCGAGCTCTGCTCTGTTGTCATCTGAGTCGAGAGAAAGGCTGGGCAGAAGCTGCGTGGGGCCTCGCCCGCCTGAGTGCAAGCCCTCAGCAGGAGAGCTTTTCCAGATTTTTGACATAATGACGAAGCGCACAGAGTCTGGAGCCAGACCGCAGAGTTCAAATCCTAGCCCCACCACCTTACTACCTAACTACCTTGAGCGAGTTCCTTAACTTCTGTGCCTCGATTTCTCTGTCTACAAAACAGAGACGAAATGGCGTGCCCACCTCATGGAATTATTGTGTGGCTTAAATCAGCTCATCTATCTAAAGGGCTAGAAAAATGTCTAGCACGTTATAAACTCTCCATAAGCAACAACCACAGCCCAGTGCCTGTGTATACAGTCCTCTGAATTCCACAGACAGTTCGGGTTGCCAAAGCGCCGAGCTTCTCCAAGACAGAGAAATGGTCCATAAATTACTAACACACACACACACACACACACACACACACACACACAGAACCCAGTGATTTTCGAGACTAAACTGAGGCCTTCACTGAGGCGGGGGCATATCCACTAGCACTGGGACATGTCCAGCCCGTGACTCCAAAGCTCTCAGAAAAGGGGTGTCCCCGCACCTCACCCCACACAGTGGACTTCCGTCAGTGAAGCGCGTTTGCTGCACAGCTCCCTCCTCACGTATACCAGGGTCTGGACCGCGAAGCCCTGGTGTGGCCCAACGGGCCCCACGGGATGCCAGAGATTAATGTTTTACGAAGCCCGTTTGAGCGGTAAAACATTGCCATCACCTAGACAGGGCCGGCCACGGCCTGCTACATCTGCCTCTCATCCCAGCAAGTCCTGAGCTTCAGGCCCAGGTCCCCAAATCACAAAGCTCAGGGCAGCCAGGCAAGTGGGTTAAGGGTCATGACAAAGGAAGGGCAGGTCTTGATAATTTTAGAGTTTTATATTTAAACTTTATAATACTCAGCTAAAGGCCACAGACACAGCCCAACGGGCGCCTACAAGTTCTGGTACCTGGTACCTCGGTTACCAAGGCAAGCATTGTGGACCCTGTCTGTGTCCGTGGAAAGCCCAGGCATCGAGGGGCATCTACCTCCATGCCCCCTACCAGAGACAGAGGTGCCAACATTCATCCCTCAAAACGGCAGATGTTCCTTCAGCCCCAGTCCGGGGCCTCCGCCCCTCCTCTGCTTACCATGGGGGGCTGTTCTGTCAGCTCCCGCAGCTTCTCACTCAGCGACCTGCGTGCCTTCTGGAACTGACTGTCCAGGGCTGGAGAAAGGGTCCCCACCAGGCTGAAGATCATGTGACTCTGCAGAAAGTCCCTGTGGAGAGACACATACACCCCAGGGCTCTGGGGACCCCTCAAGAAACATCTCCCCTGGCGTAAGTCACCATGACTCCTGGGAAAAGCCCCTTCTCCTCTGTATTTACAGAGCATAACCGTGGACAAGTGCAGAAGAGCGTTTCGTGGTACGGGCTGGAGTGGGGCTGGAGAACGACGGAGGGAAGGGCTTGATGAGGAGGCAGACTTCTCCCACGGAGAGAAGGCCCTGGACTAGATGAAGGTTCCACTTGGATCTAACGAAACTGATTCATCTACTCCCACGGCCAAGAAGTCTCCCGTCTGAAGATGCATCCTGTCAGCCAACACAGCGGGGATCCGGCCCTTTCTCTGCCCTGCTGGCAACTCTCTTGCCAGGTGTGGTCGTGCCCTGACGTAACCTGCTCACACTCGCATGAATGGTTCGCGCCAAAAGTATCTCTAGATGTTGCTGCCACCGAGTTACTATGGAGCAGGACCCGAGGCCCTGGGGGAAAGGCGCGGCCTTCAGGCGGTGGCCACGCAGGGATCAGGGGCGGCAGAGAGCCCAGCGCAGAGCCTGCTCCTCACGTCCCCCGCCTGCCTTGGCTCCTGGTCTTTCCCACAGGTCCCAGGATCCTGTCGCCACAGCTGAGAAATGGCCCCTCCCTCAGACTTTCCCCCAGGTCACCCCCATTCTTCACCCCCTCCATCTACTCATCTCATGTGCCTCCTCCCATCCATACCCCTTGGCTGCTGACAAGCTACACATGCCCGAGCTGTCCCCAGCGACCAGCGACCCGCCTTCCGGCATCTCCTACGGCTCAGAGGCTCTCCACGGGCTGGGTTCCACTGTGTCTTACCAAACACCTGTGTCCCTCATTTCACCTGTGTCTGCCCCAGGCCCCCCCCCCAGCTTCTCATACTTCCTGCTTCCTCTGTTTCCCTTTGGGCTGTCCACCCCACCCCTTCTCTGCCCCTCACATCCGTCCGTGGATCCCTCCCATCTTCCTGGGAGGCTCTAACCGGTCTGCGTTCTTCAAAGCCACCTGTGGCGCCGAGACCTCTGGGGCCCCAGACCCTTCCCGCCCTGCGCTTCTCCGACCCCGTCCGACCCCGTCCGACCCCGTCCGACCCCACCCGACCCCGTCTGGACAAACCTGTGCGTCAGCAGCTGTTCCTCCACCAGGCGCGACATGTTTTTCAAATAATCCAGGTCATGGACCACGACTAGCTGGGAGGAGCTCAGGGACATCGGAGTGAATGTCGCTTGCAGACAGGATAACCAGTCGATGGCAGGGGCCAGCTCCTTAGAGGAGGGACATACACAAAGGCTGAGGGGAGGGAGAAGGGCTCTCGCTCCTTCGGCGTCTGAGAGGGAGTGGGGAGAGGGGGTAGAATAGGGGGAACGAGGCGGAAGAGAACAGGAGGCCAAGAGAGTGTGGGGGACACCGACCCCCGTGCCCACCGCCCTCCTCCGGCCCCCGGCTCAAGGCACCTGCAGCTGGTAGATAGTGACCACCTGGAAGGGCTTCCCCTGGGCCCGCCGCTGCGCCGGGGGCCTCAGAAACTGGACCAGTTGCGAGGTAAAGGAGATGGACCAGGAGGCGTATGGTTGCACCGTGACTGGATCTCCTCCCAGCAAGGTTCCCAGGCGATTCAGGTAAGCCAGGTACTCCCGCATGATCTGCAGGACGGGCAACCGCGGTCACAGCCACTGGCGGCCCCTGCCTCTCTCCAGGCGTCAGAGGCCAGGGTCTTTGCCCGCCGCGCCACCGTACCTGGGCGTAGATCTTCTGTTCCTGCTCTTGATTGAAGGGAACGTCAAACTCTGGCTGGTCTATCTGGACACAAGAGAGACTGGAGAGAAGTGCGTAGCGTGGAGGAAGGCGAGGACAGGGGTGGGGAGACGGGGACCATGTGGAGGGAGACGGCCTCGGGAATGAAGGTGGCGCAGAGAAGGAGCGTACAGAGAACGAGAGGGGTGAGGGGCCGGGACGTGGCGGGAAAGAGAAGCTGGTAATTCAACCCATTCAGGGGGTGCTCGGCGAGAGAAGCATAATAACCCATGGCCTGAGGGGAGCCCTTTCCGGTGCTAGGGCCGGGTCTGGGGTAAAGCGAGTGAGACACACACCTCTCAGGTGCAGAATTTCAGAGATGCTGAAAACTCAGTGATCAAGATAAATAATAACTTCATCGACATTTAACAAGTCAAAATTAATGCTAAAAGTCCATGCTGAATAAAACTGCAAAACTTTGTTCATCGTAGTATTTTTTCTGAAAATCCACCATGTGTTTTTTTATCCATTTTTTTAAAAATCGCCGACGTTTTCAAAAAAGTCTATAAGAGAGTTTTGAGCCATTTTGAAAAAAAAAATTGTTTTCAAAAAAATCCACAAGGAACCATAATTTGATATTTTGTTCATCAAAGTCATTCTGTCCATTGACTTTGATTTTTAAAAATATTCATCAAAATATGATTTATCTTGATTACCGAGGTTTTGGGGACTCTCTGCAATTTTACAGCCCAGGCAAGTGGCTCATTCACCTCCGCGGCCTCAGCTTAGTTCTGGCGCCGCGTCCTTGATTCCGTTCCGAAGGTCGTTGCTCCCACCCTTTCTCTTTTTCTTTCCCATTTTCGATATCCCATTCCCGCTTTGAGCTATGAATTTTTCCCCATCTTGAAAGAGACTTTCACTTGACTCCTCTGTCACATCTTATGTCCAAACTTTAAGGAATCGCAAGTCATCTACACCCTTGCTTCCTCCTAAACTCCCTACAACCCGTGGCCATTTCTGTAGCCATTTTTGATATGATCTCTCAGAGGTTTCCAACGGTGCCTTCTCATTCCTTACTCTCTGAGCTCAGAAATCTCAGAATCGAAAGCGACCCCTCCCTCCTGAAAGTGGGGCCCCCCGTCCCCGGGGGCTCGGCTGCGCTGGTCTGACACCCACCTCCCTGCCTGTTCTCGCTCTTCTCTGCCCTCGCACCCCTCACCGGGTGCTCCCTCTGCGGTCCGTTCTTTCCACCTCTTCTTCCCCTCAGAGTCCTTCCGACCTCAAGCTGATAGTAACCACCCTCTTCCCACTCACACCAGTTCAAAGCGGTGGGGTCATTTTTCTGATTTCCCCGTTTCTGTTCTGTACAGTCAGTGATGGAGTCCTCTGGAATCACCATGGCGCCTGATCACAAGGATAACGTCACCCAAACCCCCAGGCCTGGCCTTTCCATTTCTACCACAGTCATCTTCTTTCAGGACCTCGAAATCGCTCAGCTCGATTCCTCCGCTCCTCCAGGCCGACCTCCCAAACTGCTGACTCGGTGCGCGACCATCCTATCTGAAAGATCTCGGTAGCTCTTTTTTCCCTATTATGTCAAAAGTGACCACTTCGGTCTAGCTTCGTAGGCCAGGAATAATCAGGCCCGACCTCGAGTCCTCAGCCTTTTGCCTCTGCCGGGTCCCACCCCACCCCACTGTCCTCTGTCCCACAGTCCCGCCTCCTCACTGCCCCACAGAGGAGTCACACCGCTCCAAGCTCTTCCTTAGCTCAGGACTTCCCCCATAGCCCAAACGCCCTTTAGCTGCACCTAATCAACCAGTTTCAAGGCTCAGCTCACATTCTCCCCTCTCTGAGTCTCCTTAACCATTTCAGATCTTAACTAAACCCCCAAAGGCCATATACCAGTTAAACCCCTGAGCACGACCTTTATAACTAGAGTTCAGAATACCTTATACTGATGATCTTGTCTATTTATCTTCTTATTAATTTGTGAAAATTTTGAGAATGGGGCCAAATATACGGCATCGCATTGCCTGCCATGATACTGATGCCTCCAAAGTCTTTATTCACTTGTTCGACAAACACCCAGTGTGGGCCTCTCGGTGCCTGGCCCTGTGCTAGGTCCTTCCTGAGAAACGAGGTGAACGAGGCGTGGCCCCGTTTCTAAGAGTCTGCAACACAGTGTAGTGCCGAGAGCATGGGAAATGGGAGGACAGAGCGGCTCCCTAACTCTTAGCCGGGGTGTCGGTGAAGATTTCCAGGAAGAGAGAATAAAAGCGAAAATCTGAAAAACATCCATGTTTTCCAGGCTGAGTGTGGGGGTTTGGGGAGGAGTGTTGCAGGCAAAGGGAGCCATATATGCATAGAACTGAGGAATATTCTTGAAGCTGTGAGTAAGCCTGGTTTGGAGTTTAACGGGGAGAAAGGATAAAAGGCTGGAGAAGTCTGCAAGGGTCAGACTGTAAAAGGATTTGCAGGGTTTTGCTAACATCAAGAACTAGATCCTAATGACCTGGTGAGCCCTCGGAGGGATTTAAGCAGAGACAAGAGCATAATTAGCTCTTGATTTAGAAAAGTCCCTCTGGGGAAAATGAAGAGTAAATAAGAGGAGGGTAATACTGGAGATAGGGGACCAGTTAAGAGCCCCTGGGGTGATCCAATAAGCAGTAAGGAGGACCCACAACACTTCTGTCTTCCCAAGACTGGCCTCGCTGCTCCTTTCCCTAATCCCATCTAGTGCCTCCGGCTCTCACATCAATAATTTGCCCTAAAAATAGGGCTGTTCCTGACATTGAACATTTATCCTATCCCGACCTGCGACCTTCCCCTAAGAGAGGATAGGCCAGCCTTCGAGGCAGGCCCAGGTCTCACTGTGTTTTTGTCAGCACATCCCTCACCTGGATGACTGGCTCGTGTGGAGGGGTGGGATGAGGTCCCAGGTAAGCTTTGAAGAATGGGAAGTGATCGTATTGACTCATCAGAAGTCTCAGCGTTCGGTTAAAGTCTAAGGAAGTCCAATTACCAGAGATTCGCCAGCCTCCAAGCTGCGAGGGAGAGAGACGAGGCTGAGCAGAGGGCGGGCCTCCCCGACACCCAGACCCCATTTCTCGGAGAGCTGCTACTGCCTGACGTCTGCTCCGAGTTCTGTGATCCCTCCGGGACTCCACCGCTACCCTTCCTTCTTCACCCAGGTCCTAATACTATCCTGGGCATTGCCATTTCCATCCCCTCCTCGAACTTGGGGATCCCTAGGAAAGGGACCCACTCTCTAGAAAAAAAAAAAAAAAAAAAAAGGCAGCCCTGAACATACATTGATCCTACACAATATGTGCCCAGAGAAGTGATGCTCGTGCCTCACCTCCTCGATGACTTGTCTGAGGGGACCCGCCCCTGCAGCCTCGATGGCGTCCGTGTCCATGCAGGAGCTATAGAATCGGAAGGCTTTCTCCTCCCCAGAGCCAGGGTGCTGGGACCCTAGGGCCTCTAGAAAGGAAGCGTGGGTGAGGTAAAGGAGTGCGGCCAGCGTCCAGACAGGAGGGAAGGCGCGAGGCGGGGGCTGGACGGAAAGAAAGGAAAGATTCCCGAGAAAGGGAAGGAGGGGGCGGCGGAGGGAGGAGGAAAACCGGGAATACGGGGCGACTGTCCGGTTCCGACGGGATCGACGCGACAGAAGAATAAGCGCGGGGAATGGGAGTGTGGAGAGATGACGAGGAAAATAAAGGAAGGCGAGAAGGGAAATGAGGAGGAAAAGGCAGGGAAGAAAAGGAAGATGAGAATAAGTGGTCTGCGGATACAGGGAAAAGGCGGACATAGAAGGCAGGAGGGACCGAATGAAGGGATTAGAACAAATCAGGAAATCAGAGCATTTTGAGGGAATGGGGAGAGGCAGGCTCGTAAGAGGGCGCCTCCCTTGGTCCAGACCCTCCGCGCTCCCATCAAGGGAAACGAACGAACATATGACCATCACCTGGACACATACCCGTTTGACTCATCCACCCTCTAATGTCTCGCTCGTCTCCCTCAGTCCCCCTGATAGTGCTTCATTCCACGTGGACAACAGAATTTATCCTAAGCCTATTCTTTCCTTTCGTCGCTGCGCCCCCACCAGGGAGGAGAGCCTGCCGCACCCCAAGAAGGAGGGCAGAGGGAGGGATATAGACATTTGTCCCAAATTCCAGTGGATACTGTCAACATGTTCCCGCGCCCCTCACACTGGAAATGCATCCCCATCTCGCAGGGCTTCATTCCCAAACCCTCGCCGGCATCCGCCCCCCCACCCCCCACCCTGGGACCCACTTTCCTTCCCCAGTTCCCCTGTCAGCTCTGCCCTCCACCGCGGCCATCGACAGGACGTGTCTTTCCCCCCAGGACTTCTACCTCGGCCTCTTCCTCCCGGACGGCTTTTGTGCCCATCCCCTTACACGCGGCCAGATAAAGTCCCCTCTGTCACCTGTCCCCTCACTAGCCCACTTCTCCCCTGTCTGACTTCCAGCGCGGGCCAAGGTTTGGGTGAACAGGGGATAAGCGAGAGGGAGGGGAGGGCGAGGATGACCCTGACCAGGGCCCTTAGAAGACAAGGAGGCGTTGACGGCTAGAGGCGGAGAGTCATGGAGAGTCATGGAGAGAATGAAAGGCCTTGAAGAGACGCTGCTGGGGGAGACAGAGGCGTAGGATAGAAACCGAAAAGCAGGGGAGATGGCGAAGAAGATGGAGCTTGGCAAGAGGGAGAACTTGGGGAGAACAGGAAAGACGATGGGGATTCGGTCTATGAAAATAAAAAGCTGGAGAGAGGGACAGGGCTGGTCCCCGGGGTGAGCGGCGTGGAGGGGGGGACGCGCCCCCAGCCACGCGGGTCCGGCGGCCCCGCGCCCCTTACCCAGGACGCCCCGCAGTCGGCGCTTGTTCTCCTCGGCGAGAGCCTGGAAAGGGTTCCTGGTCCCTCCGGCCTTTCCACAGGCAAAGCTGAAGAAGTCGGCGCAGGGGGCCGCGCTGGCGTTCCTGGACGCCAGGGAGTGGGCCAGGAGGCTCCTGCACACGGGCGAGTCGCAGAGGCCTGCGGGCAGAGAGCGGGGTGGAAAAGAGGGGCGAGGGCGCCCCCCAGGGGCCAGGCAGAGGAACGCCCGGCGGGGAAGGCCGAGGCCCGGCCGGAGGAGGGCGACGGGACTGGTCTGGCGCGCGTCCGGGGGAGAGCCCGGGAGGAAGGACGGGGAAGGGGACAGAGCATGGGGTCAGGGCGAGTGGCGAATTAGGTCGGTGGGCATGGAGCCTCGAGGCGAGGGACACACGGGGCCTGCGCCTGAGGGAGGGCTGTGTCCCCGGAGCCTGCTTACCAGGCCCACAGCTCCGGAGGAGGTAGACCAGAAGCACGGGGGAACCAAGGAGCAGGCCCAGAAGCAGCACGGCCGCCAGCAGCTGCTGGGCCACCGCCCAGCACCTGCTCCCCGCGGCGGGCTGCCCCTCTTCCGGGGGTCTCCCTGCGCCGGGGAACTGGGAGGTGAGGGGATTGGGAGAAAGGAGTGGGGGAAACGGAAAGGGAGGGGAGAGGAGAGAGAACAGACAAGTCAGTGCCAGGGCCCCTTGGACAGAGGCCATGCTCCTCACCCCTCCTAACCCAGCCCCACTTGGACCCCCGGAGATGCGCAGACAAGGGATGCTGACTGTCCCGGGTGAGGACAAGCAGGCTGTGAGGGGCGGGACGCTGGAGCTGGAAGGGGCTCATAACTCTGCTCAGGCAGGTAGAGGTCGTCACTCACCTCCTGGCTTGAGAGAGTCTCCATTGCGCTGGCCCGGCCCGGTCCCCCGTGGTTCTCTCGTCTTGTCTCCACCCTCTCAAACTGAGTGAACAGAAGGGAGGAGAGAGGAGCTGGTTCTGGAAAGGGGTACGTTACAGAGAATTACAGCGAGCCATTTGGACACACACGTCTAGTCTCATGCCAGGGCAGTGTCTCCGGACGAGCTTCGGGGAGAGCCTGTCCCCTGGGTGCAGCACGACATCCGTCCCTCTCTCGTCACCTCCCTTTCCTTTCTCATTTCTACTCTCCAAGCCTCTCACACCCTCCTCTGTAGTGGGGGGCAGGGCATTCTCACACAGCAGCCACCCTACTCCCCACCCAAGGCATCTGACTCCAACAAGAAATGGTTTTCTCCAGGGGACTTGCCGTCTGTCCGTCAGCCTGTGCTCTCTGGCCCCCAGAATCCTTCCTGGTTCTGGTCTAGGTGCTGAGTCTGCCGACAGGGATTCAGGAAATAGCTTTCCTCCTATCCCCACCCAGCTCTTCCGTCCTGGAGAAGGGGCACTTCTGCCACTGGACGCCCTGTCTCCACACACGTGCTCTTGGCCTCTGGGCGGAGCCTGTTTATCAGTCAGGGGACACCCAGGCCTCTCCTCCTTTATCTTGGCTTCTCAGGGGAGGCAGAGGGAGAGCCTTCCTTCCCCAACCAATCCCTCTGAGGTTGGCTCCTCTGGCCTTCGCTGTGCCTCTGCTCGTGGAGTGTCTTTATTTCTGGAATAGTCTTCTCTCCTCTTTCCTATGATCGAAATCTCTTGGGTCCTTCAATTCTCAGATCAAACGCCATCTTCTCCAGGATGTCTCACAACTCCGTGCCCATTCGCCCTGCTCCGAAGCAGGCCTGAGAGCTTCTCGGGGTGAATCTTAGCCCTGCTGGTTGCAGGCGGAACAGTACATGAAAAAGACCAACCAACTAGGAGACCCTAATCTGTTCATTATTAGTTCCGAGGGAATAAACGAGCCACTTGAAAACTCTCAGGCAAGTGAGCACGCTGGGTCATCATGAAAACGAGAACAATTGCCTTTTCCTACCTCACAGGGTCTCATACCTTCTACCAAGGACTGAGGCATCCCTGAGCCTCTGCTTCCTTCCTTCTGCATTGTCACGCAGGGGGCTTGCACTGCCTTTGCCTTGCAGATTGCAAACTCTTTGGTGACAGGGAGAGTATCCCTTTTTCCTTCACATCCACCTCAGACGCTTCGTAAATATTAGTAGGGATGAAGGGCCTGCCAATCCAGAAAAGTCCTTTCGTACATCATACTGAGCCCTCACCTGGGGTCTCGGTGCACATGTTCCTGAGAGAAGATATTTCACCTGTGTCTTGTCTCCTATCCCAGGCAAAATGGGGTTGATTGGAATAGTCACACTAATGTGCCTTGGCGACATTTCTGGGTCCCATCAGCACTGTGGTGCATATGCTGGGATAGGCGTGAGAACAGCTCGACGGTTGGAAGAGAATAAATGTACTATGTCGATGGGGGCCAGATCGCAGAGAACCGAAAGAGTCAGGAAGAAAAGTCCAGACTTCACACATCAGAGAAGAAGGGATTGAAGGCTTCTGAGGAAGGGTTTGACATGATTAAAAAAATATATCTAGAAAAGTCTGGTGTGGTACTAGGGACATGGATTGATTAGAAAGCAGACGAGAGACACGGTAGCTAGTTTTGGGATTCCGGAATGGAGCGAGGGCCTGGCCTAGGGTGAGAGCAGAAGGGAAGGCAATACTTGGAAAGAAAAATTCTAAGGAAGAAAATAAAGTCATGGGAATGAATGGAATGGGGAGGTGGATGTAACAGAGTCACAGACGAGCTTCGGGTTTTATTTCTGGATAATTAGGAGAATAGTGATGCCAGTGATAGAAAAAGTAAAGTTTGGGTTAAGGGTTGGAATAGGGATCTTCTTGAGAGCAAAATGATTCAGGATTTTAGAGGTTCGGGGTCTTTTCCAGGAAGTCCAAGACCCTGACTAGCCTCCTTCGCACATAATTCCTTCTCTACTCCTCTACCAGCGAAATCCTCCGGGCTGACGTTTCTCTAGGAAAATAACAAGAGGGACAATTCTGATTAGATAAGAGCAAGCGGAGGTACAGTGTGCCATGTGACATTAGCCCTGTAAACAGCTACTGTGCCTTTGGCGTTGGAGAAGCTGACAGTCCACCCCTCCCTACCCTGCTGCCTCCTGAAGGCAAAGTAACCTCTGTTCTGGGAGCTGCCTCGGCAGTACGGCTCCCCTTATCTCCCAAGTCCTACCCTCAGCGAGTCATCGCCACCCCGGCCGTGCCCAGTCATACCAGGCGCCTCCAGCGCAGCAAAGACGCTCCCGTTAACAGCCACGGGCTCACGGAACAGGCACACATTTATCTTTGCAGACACTGCCTCCTGGTTGCTTTAATTCTTCTTTCCGGGCTATTCTAATTCCGGGATCCTTCATTTGAAATCATAATAATATTAAAATGAACATAATAACAATAGTATCTACTTTTTACTGAGCACTTTCTACAAGCCAGCGAGTACAGTAAATGCTTTGCTTATATATAGTTTTCCATTCAGTCTTCACAGTAATTCTAAGAGTTATTATTTCCCCCTTTTTACAGCTGAGAAAACATAGAAGTACAATAACCATGCCCAAAGTTATCAAGTCAATAGTTATCAGAGCTGGGAGTCAAACCAAAGCCTTAACCATTGGCCATCTATCTCCGTCATTAAGATTCTGTTTTGGGAAGTCTCTTCCTGGTCAGAATCTTCTTTCATCTAAACTCTTTAAACTGTCCTTCACTGGTTGACCATGTTATGTGACTGCCTTGGGGGCTGCAGTTCTCCAAACTCTTAAACATCCAATTTCACCTTTGGAAGATTGTGGCCTTTGTTGTCTGTCCATCTACAGTGGTTAAGGAAGCAAAGTCAAGGAGGGGACATTTATCTACATATTGCGGCACTCTCTGGCAATTCACTCCTAGGATCACTGATTTTAGCGACGGCAGCTAAGGAGCAACAAACCCCGTTCTGAATGGACCAGAGTGAGCCTTGCTGTCCCCGGTAATGCTGGGGAGTTTGCCGAGAGCAGGTAGAGATGGATCGCTAGGGCAGATCTGAGGACATATCGATTGCTTTTTCAAAGGAAGCCATATTAAGAGTTGGGGATCACCTTTGCACAGGAAGAATTATGGTTTTTGAAAGAAAATTAGTAAGTAAAAGAACTGTGTTTAATATTTTTTTTATCACATAAACCTTTTATAAATATAAGATGCAAACGAGAATATGTAATCTCTGTTTAATGAAATTAGTAAGGCCATCAAAAAATATTAAATGGATAATAATTGGATTGGCAAAAACTTGAAGGTAATGCCCCAAAGACTGAAGTTTAAAGGTGTTCACGTTGACACATCGCAGAAGAAGAACTGTTGCCCTTTATTTTTCGTGATGTTTTTTCCATGCTGCTACTCCCTTCTTCCCAATCTAACAGGCATCCAGGGCGACACTCTGGACACAGGAAACTTCCATCGACACAGGTGTCAATTTGATGTATGTATCCTCAAAAGGAATTTGCATAAGGTCTTGCTAAGCCTACTGTCTTAGTCAACCACTGCCATAAGAATGCTTTATAATAAACTGCTCAAAACTCAGTGGTTACAGAATAAGTATTTATTCTCATGTCCAAAGATCTGTCTGTTGGCTGCTGTCCAGCTGACACAGACTGTGTTCATTTGTGCTTCAGGATGCATTTGGATGGCTTGAATCTAGTGCATAGGTTTATGCAGGTCTGCTGTATATGTGTTTGTTCAGGGACTCAGGCTGAAGGAGCAGAGGCTAAGAAAATCACATTTTCCCATAAAGGGCCACCTGAGAGCAAGATTCAAGCCAAATGGTGAAAGCAATTTTTTAAGACTCAAGTTTTCATTTTTATCATGTTTAGTAATGTTCCATTGGCCAAAGTCAGTCACATGGCCAAGCTCAACATCAAAGGACAAGAAGTGTTTGCTCATAGTGGGAGGGGAAGGGTAGTGAATAGTTAGTTGCTAAATAATAAACCCAAACCAGTCACACCCACTTTATTGAAAACCTCATACACTCTCTAGAATGAGAGTTTGGTCCACCTGTGTGGTGGCAGAAATACTGGCATCCTATATGAGACCAGCAGAAGTAGACATAAGAAAGAAATGGCAGAAACCCAACCGGGTCAGCCTTCTTCATGAGGAACGCCCACAAATAGTTATGTGACATAAACGGTGGCCCTTCTTTCATGTACCCTCAGGCATTAAAGGGCATCTCGGGCTACATGGCAATGTGGTATTCCCTTATCTATGAACCTTAAACCAGCATTTCCACTCATGTAAATGGTCATAATGCCACCCTACTTTTGCAGAAAAATAGTTCCAAAACCCTAATCGTTTTAACATTGACTTTGACCACTTAATTTCATTCTGGTTATGCTCGGACTCTTGGCTCTACCCACTCTCTCTGGCCTCTTCTTTCTCCTTCAGAGTTGGTACCCGAGCCTGCTTACACGGATTTAGGCTTATATACACTCTAAGGGTTTTTCCTTAAATTCATGCCTTGGGTCTTTAAATCCTGGTAGACTCAGGTAACTGAGCCTATCTTCCAGCTCCATAATGATAGATCTTTATTCTCAATCTCCAGCACTAGCTGGCTAATACCCTAGGTGGACCATAAACAGAGATTACAGGAGGTAGATACCATTTTGGTATATGAACAGAAAAATTTAAAACTCAGAGCTGAGTTTAGATACTAAGTCATCGGCAAGATGTATGGAGTTCAAGAACTAGATATAAAATGAAGATACCAGGGGTTGGCAAGAAAACAAGGCCCAGGAAGAAGATACCTAATAATAGAGCTTGGAGAAATTTGCATAGTTGGTTATTAACTGTATCCGGTTTCTTAGGAGTCCAAAGATTTATACCTTTGGCTGGCCTATTGCCCTGATTCTTAAGTTAGGGTATCTGCTAGCATTTATCAGTTACTGATTGGCTGTGTTGTCACACAACAGGGCAAGCTTACTCTAAATCGAAATTGAGAATCAGAGTCATATCTCCTACCTGGGAAGCCATTCTCTTTACTTCTTCTCTTCCCGCCGCCCCCTACCCAAATTCAATTCTTTAATTCCCTTACTGCTACTCAAACACACACACACACACACACACACACACACGCACACACACAGCCTCATCTAGAAAATATTGCTTCCTTAGTTGTAATTTTCTCTCTCCTTTATTTTGAAATGTCTGCCTTTTCCTGGGACTGTTAAGACAGTTTCGGCTTTTGCTCCCTGTCCCCTTCGCAACGGCAGGGCAGTCAGGGGTGTTCACATCTCATGGGCCACATCTCCCCTGAGGTCGAACCTCCTCCAGCCCTCTGCGTTGGTCTTGATTCCACCACTCCTCACCTTAGTAAAGACACTCAGTGTATTTCACAGATAGAAATCTGTGCTCTAGTGTAAGGCGGGAATTTTAGATCTAGACAGCCTGGACTTGATTTGAATCTGGGTTCTACCAGTTA